CCAAATGCACAAGATGTAATATGCTTCTGTGTCTAGCCATGGGCATTTATAATTTAATCTGCCTTATTTTATCTTACTGACATTTTAGTGTCAATGATTTATCCACATATTTTCTTTTTTTATTTTTGAGAATTTCTTGCATTAATATTATTTTTGCATTGTTTCCATCCTCCCAACCCCGCTCTAACTCCCCCCATAACTCCCTCTTAATTTTGTGTCCTTCTTTGAATCTCTCTCTCTCTCTCTCTCTCTCACACACACACACACACACACACACACACACACAAACTCATTCACTTAATAGAATGAGTACCTGTGTTTAGGGCTACCCACTTGGAATTAGATAACCTCTCAGGGAGCTAGTCCATAGAGAAACCTGATTCTCCCTCTCTCAGCATCCATTCATTTCCTGTAGCTCTTTATCATGAGATATGACCCCTTGAAATTTCCCCCATCCACCTTGACCTGTCAAGTGGTTTGTCATCATGCAGATCTTGTTAGACTATTATATTAGCCAATTTCGTTGGTTCAGTTTCCCTATCATGTCTAGAATGCATTAACTAGCAGCAGATATCTTGTCCCTCAGGTTCTTACATTTTTTTCTGTAACCTCTTCTGTGATGTTCCTTTAGTCTTAGATATAGACATTGCATTATAGATGTGTCACTTTGGGCTGAGCACCTCAGTCACTCATTCTCTGTGTTTGATCAGTTTAATTCCCGTATTTTTTAATGTTGACGTAAAGAAATATGTTTGCAAGTATATTGTCCAATTCACTTGCCATTCTCTAATTTTATTCTGGGGTTTAAAGATAAAAAGCCAAGTTAATATGGCATGATAATAGCATGAAAACCCAGAATTGAAAGACTTTGAGAAAACCAAGTGTAGCAAACTTTGTCACAAGATTATAAAAATGAAATAAACTTGGCAAAATAAATTTCTTTCTAAGAAGAAAGGAGAAAGATATTTTTAAGCAAACAAGGCCAGCCATGATTAAAAATATCAAATTATTTTGAAAGAAAGAGCCCTCATGTTTTGGTAAAACATGGTAAGAACTATATTGTAGAGACTTAACTTTAGAATTTAACAATTCAGTAGGCATTCCTGTGTTAAGACTGGGTCAAGCCCTTGCTCCAACCAGTCATGACAAGTCTTACTTTATCTGCATAAACCATAGGACAGACAAAGCTGGATAATATTTTCTTAGACTGTGGACTGACTGATGGGCACATCATAAATATTCATTTGCCATCTCCTTGCTTCCTTGAAGATTGAAGTCCAAATATTATAAGCCTCTAAGAAATATTATATAGCAGTAGTTGCACAATGAACAGAAAGGCTAGCTAAAGACTTGGTTTACCTCTGGGCAGGTCCTCTGTTCCCATGACTCATGACCCTATTTCTCATAGACTTGAATGTCTATGGTCAGTATAACTATCACATCATGATGACACCTCACCTAAGTATATTCCCAAAAGAAGGTTAACGTATGAGAGAGCAGGCTCAGAGGCAGAAACTACTCATTGCACATTTAATAACAACTGATTTAAGAGTTTTGATTATCATTATTTCTTCTACCTGTTTTACTGACAGCCAGCAGCAAAAGCGCTGTTTACCCTGCTGATCGCTATTTCATATTAGACTATGAAATTTCAAATAATGAACAGTTATTTCAGATATATATATATATCATATAATTATAGATGGATGGATAGGTAGATGGATGGATGGTTGGATGGATGGATACATAGTGTGTAACACATATGGTGTGGTGTTAGAGATCATACCCATTGCCTACTAAATGCTAGGCAAGTGTTCTGCTACTGAACTCTATCCCGAGTGCTTGTATCCCGAGTGCTTGCAATGCACTCTTGTTAGTAGAATTGAAAATTAGTTCATGAAGAAATATTTCTAGATATTTTTCTATTATGAGTTTTATATATCTATTTAATAGGTAATTTTTATTTGGCTCAGAGATTATCAATTTAAAATGTTATTATTAGAACAGATATGTGATGATTTAAAATAATATGTGTGATGTTTGCATTTGGATTGGTAATGGCACTTAAACTTTATAGTTATATATCATAGCTAAAGAAATGGTAAATTAATGCTGCTCAAAATGATTTTAACATTCTGCTAGAGTTAACTTTCCTCACTCACACTGAGACAATATACAATTTAAAAACTATTATCTTAGGAAATATTTTGTATTTAAAATTATTATGACCATGTTTAACTTTTTCACTATACAACAATTAAAAACTTAATAAAAGCTTGAAAGAAGTAACATATTCATTAGGGATGTATGTATGTGTGAATGCCCATATTTGTTTTAATAAAATTATTGTGTAATTTATGTGATGGTCTTTAGCTTATGTTTTTAAACGTATCCTGTCTACAAACAAACTGAAAGAAAAGTTGATGAGAAAAAGTTGAAAGTAACTGGCAGACTGTGACACTGTTTATCGCTTTGAGGTAGACAGAATTCAAATTGCCTTCATTAGATGAGCAATATGCTATGGAAAATGAGCAAGGTACTTATCAAGAGGCTCTTTCATTTGCATTTTTGCTGCATAACCAAGCTGCTCTGTTTTTAGCTGCTCAAGGCTGTGAATAGGAGAGAAAGAAAACAGTTGAGGTAAGTAAGCCAAGGCATTCTAGAACTAGATTAAAGAAAAGGCAAAGTTTATCAACAAAAACGTCGAATTGTGCCTTGTGTCATCTGTCTGCCACAAATGACAGTCTCACAGGCTTCTACGACATAGGATCTACAACTCCATGAGTTCTTTTCACATTCACCCATACCCAAACAAAACTAAATAACTGCTTTTATTGATAAATTTTTTTATTATAATCATTCTTTTGATAAATGATCGATACTTCAGAGTGACACTATGTAGCTGCCCTGCTGTAGCTGCTTAAGAGACTGAATTTCAATTAAGCAGTAAATCATTATGGAACTGCATTTTCAGCTGCCAAATAAAATGCTCCCTATTCCCAGGCAATTCCAAAACAGTGTTATTTTTGCAGAATTCTTCCCCCAGGCTCATTCACAAGGCAAAAATTCTTACTTGACTGGTAAAGATATTTTCCTCAAAATGAATAGCCAAATACCAAAAAATTGTCTTGCTTAAAATTTTCATCATGTCTATGTTCACTAATGTCATAATTATACTTTGACTTATATTATGCAGAATAAATTAAGAAGCAGTAAGTTGTACTAATAAGTGCCTTTAGTCAATAGTATCTTCACATAGCTGCACAGTAGACCATGTTATATTTGAGTTCATGTTATATTTTCCAGCTATACTTTCCTTGGAAATTTTCTTAAATCCCACAAAACACATAAGTATTCATAGCACTGGTCTCACTCAAAGTAGTATAAACATACTCATTTCCTATATAATCAAATCCTCATTTGGACTTTTTTTTTTCTCAGAAAACCTGTTTATTTTTAAAATTTCTGCCTGCTACCTAGTAAAGCATATTTCTAAAGTGTACAAGTGTCTTTTCTGAGGATTTCAGTATTTTAATATAGACAACTTGATATGCATATTCTTTATATAGTATTTTTAAAAATTTAAAATTCACATGGGCACAAAGCCAAAGGCAACCAGCATGGCTCAACTGTTATGACTGCGGATGTTGTATTGTTATAAGTTGAGGTGTAATTTCAATGCATTCTGCAAATAGCCTACACTGAAGTCACTTCTACTTAGAATGTTCACAGCCACAACATAAACTACACATTAAAGTTTAGAATATACTAGTTACAGGATATTTGAGATAACAATTAATAAACCAGAATTTAAACATAAATCTGTTTGATTCCAAAGCTTAGATTTTTCATTCCTCTATAAATCAATGCTGTCACATTAATGTCAAATAGGTTTTAAAAAATCATATTCTAATACTATAAAATATACAACTATTAACAATTCAAAAAACTTGTTAGAGTCCATATTTTATTTTGGAAAAAGTTTTTGAAATTGATAGTGTTTTTAAAATTTAGTTCAACCAAATTCACACTACACATCACATGAATGTACCCTAAAAATATAAGACAATTAACAAAAACCCAGTCAACTAAATCTTTCGATGAGCTAACAAGCTTAAATTTATGACTAGGATTGACTCATCAAACAAATTATCATCTGATTTCATATCATTAAAGCAATGCCTGTTATAGTGGAAAAATGTTCTATAATAGTGAGGAGGGAAAGAAACTTATGCCTGGGTTGTAACAATTAGGGCTATGAGAGCCCAGAAATGATATGATACTGGCGTCTTATAATGCCAAATGTCTTTTTGAAAATAAAGCTTAGCTAGTTATTTTTTTTTTGTAGGGAGGAATATACTTGTTTGATCAAGTACCTTATTTTTTATTGAGTTTTCTGGCTTTTATACTGTTCTCATGTAACAGTAATGAAAACAATTAGACACCTGGTAGATATGGTGAGAAAAAGTTACAAGAAACTGGATTTTGAGGAAAATAAAGATGCATCAAAATAACAGATCATTTTGTCATATCCCATTGAAACACCAATGAAACAGATGATAGAGAAAAGAGAAGCGGAAAATTCACAGACCAGACTAGAAAAGTGATCAGAGAACCGAAGGTAATAGAACACACGTAGGAGGAGCATACTCTGAATGTCAGTTAGGACTAAATTTCAAGGGGCATAAATAAACTAGCATAAGGCGCATATAATGACTTTAATATTGACTATAAAATCACTTTAAATGTACAATTTTATAGAAAAAGAAATCCAGTTCATTGTTTATACATAACTGTTATTCAGTGAACATATGCAAAGTTATAACATGTAGTTACTCAGATCATTTATGTTCCTAAAATATCAAAATCCTTGTGCATTGCTTTTACAATTTGCAACACCAATACATAGTCTATATCTTAACTTTGTAAATTAGTAAATCTCTTGAGCACTCTAAAATAAAAGTAGGACCAATAACATTGCAAAGAAATGATGCACTTACCATCATGATTGGGATTTCCTAGTGTCCATGGCTCATCTGAATCAAAGTGAGTATCTCCTCCAATTCCAGGTCCAGGGAAATAGGCATGTGCCAAAAATCCTCCCTCCCCATCAAAAGGGGAACTGTCTCCATGGAAACCAGATGCAAAAATGATGGTTATATCCACATCACGTTTGCCATTTTCTAGTTCACTGTAGGGAACTTCTTCAAACGTCAGAGGAGTTACATTCTGCCACACATCAAAGGCACGGCGAATAGCTCTACGGGTTTCAGGGTCTCCTACTTTTGGAGTTACGTTCTTTATACTGAAAGTTTGAAAAGATAATGATCAGTCTGGCTTCTTTTATGTAATTTGACTTATAGTTTTTAATCTTTTCAGTTCAGAAATATCACAGAAAATGTATTAAATAGAAATAAAACATATTCCCCCCCCTTTTTTTGTCTTTAGAGCTACTTTTCATTACACGTGGATATTTCCATATTGTCATGAGAATATGCTCCCAGGCTGTTAGGGAAGAGATTTCTGCAGACTGGCTAACAGGAGGCAAGAAGATGGATAGATCACTTTGCCTCCTGGACAAGAACAGAAAGGAGGACTTGCCAAGTGATCAAGCAGGTGCAGCAGCTTGGAGCTGAAATAAAAAGCCAATTATTTTTTATTTTAATTATTCTAGAATTATACAATGTTAATTATGCACATCAATTACAAATAATGTCTCTCTGCTTTTTGTGTGTGAGCACTAATTCAGCAAGCATAAAGGTAAGTTTTAATTTTTAAAGAAAATGTCAGTTTATTGTAATCTCTGATATTCTGTTCTTTTTAATTAAGTCTCTCTGGCTTAAAAAATGGGTTGTTAGTGAATAGCTACTTAATGTGAAGATTTATAAATCTTATGAAATCTTTTAACACTTATAAAAGTGTAAGCTGGAAATTATTTGTTTCACTTTGTTCTGATGTTAATGAAAATCTATGAAGCTATGATTAATATTTTTTCCTGATTACTTTAGAACTAATCACATATATGCTCACATAATTTTTCAAGTAGAATATAAGTGAAAATAGTATTTATACTTTTATATTGTAGTACAGAGTTACTGCATGCATTTGTAAACCAATAGATAAATACTGTAAGAGTTATAATTAAGCCTTACAGCCTTTCAGCAAATAATCTTTCACATATAAACTCACAATAAGTAAAAACTTTAATATAAGAAATGACAGGCTATTCAACTGACTGTTTTGCACTTCAGTCATAAAAGTAAATTGGAAACTAAAGAGTTTACAGTGATGAAGATGTGGTCAAATTATTGTGTCTCAACCATATGCCACTGTTTCTCTAAGACTCAGAATTATTTTACTTTTTCAGATCTATTTCTCAGTATGAAAAAGTTTGTAATATACTTTCCAATATAAACTATAATACACAGATTTCATACAACCCAGTTGTAACTATATCCAGCTCATTACAAATGTTAAGAAAAACTATGCTAAAATAATATTGACAGCTTAAAAACATTTATTGCAAGTGAGGCAAGCACTTAATATATCTTACTTATCCCCAGGAATAATACATGAGTATTTAGGCCTTCCTAATAAAAATGAAGTTAGAATTTATAAGGATTTAAACAAAAGCTACTATGTGAGAGAGGTGGAAATGTTCTGACAAGCTTTATCCTAAACATTCAGAGACTCTATTGTCTTGGATGCTACACTATCCACATATATAAAACTAAGTTTTCATTATTTTCTAATGAATCATCCAGAACACATTTAGAGTAATAATTTTTGGTGAATATTATTTTTTCTCTCTAAAGAAACTGCATTCTAAATCAAGCAGAAGTAGAATGAAGGGGAAGAGTGCTCCAGGTGGAACTGGGATGGAAACAGCTTCAGAGTTGAGACATCCTGGCAAATGTAATCTGGCTGGTGTAGTCTGGCATATGGAGGTTGAGTATCAGAGAGTTTGCTTTGAGTGTAAGAGGAAAAATTTGACTAATAGTAACAGAGATTTCAAATTTAACTTATTTTTTGAATATATGACTTCAGCAACAAATATATATATTGCAGTGGAGTGAATGTTAAAACAGGAAAATTTTAAGAACTATTGGAACAGTCCAGATGGAGGATGGTGCTACGCCAGATGAAGTGGTGTCTATGGGAACATGAGACACAGCTCCATTGTAAAGGCAGTTTTGAGGATACAGCTGCCACAATTTTTATCACAGGCAAAAGGAAGGCTAGAACAAAGGAATTCATTCTTGTTCAGGGATGGTTGCGCTTTTAGTTTGCCCCACCCAGCATGGTTCCCTGCATTTTATTGTTGAAGAGGAACATCTGAACTTTGTCTAAATTAATCTCCTAGAAGTCATTTATCCTCTTTATACTGTACTTGAAATCCTATGGGATTTCAAGAGGCCCTCACGATATATTTAAAAAAACCTTACATTTTTGGGTAAGTTTTAAGGTACTGTTTTAGGTGAAGGAATCTACTCTAAGAGAACCTGTGTACTTGAGTGAGAAGACATAGAAAATTAAAAGGAAAATATTGATAAACTCAGGTAGCAATGAAGTGGGTCGGGAGGCAAACGGAAGAGATGCTGACCATTACTTCAGTGACAGGAGGGACCAGCCACAGCACGGAGTTTCTAGACAAAGTAACAGCTAGTGGTTCAAGTAAACATTGTCCTTTTAAATAACAGAAATACAATGATGTGGAATAAAATCAGCATCAAAAAGGTCTAAAATGAGAGGGGACTGACAGGATGAGATAACATTCTGAGAAGGGAAGATTCCAGAGAGTTGTAAGCATAGAAACACCCTGAGACTGTTTCCATTACAGTGTCCAGTCTACAAAAAGGAGGGTCAACTCAGAGGAAACATCTCATTCATGCTTCCAAGTGATGCCAGACATGGTCGAGTAGGGCCTTTGACTTAGCTTCACATAGATGGAACTGTAAAAGAAAGGGGCCAGGAGCTCCTCCAAAGCCCATGTGACCCCTGAAGAACAGATCCTCAAATGACAGTGAGTGTAAAAATAAAATGATTTATTTGGGCCAACCATATGGTCTTAAACACCCAAAAGGAATGTATAACCAAAGAGTAAGGTCATCAGTATATTTCTTCAAGATTTCAAGGGATTACACTTCCCAGACATTAGGCTTAAGTCTATATAAAAGTTAGACAATTATTTCTCTGATGATTTTGTTCCTAACCAGAAAGTGCTGCTCAGATGTAATACTTCAAATCTGGGTCCTCAATACTGTGGTGCCCACCTGCAACTAAGGGAGACAACCAGGTATTGTTCTAAAATGATGGATGCATTTGTTTTTTCCCCCATCTAGAAGCCTTTGAGAGGGAACTGACACTGATTCTAACCACTCCCAACAGCTGTCAAAATACCTGAAAGCAAATCCTGAATCTGTCATTCTAGAGTCCAGCCTTGGCAGACAAAAGAAAAATGAGGGGTTACCCAATAGAGGAATTCTTTCAGAAGCCCTTGTTAAGAAATTCCAATGGACTCTCATATGAACATTTGAAAATTGCCCTGTTCTGACTTTGTTATAGTTCCCTGTCTAGAACTTGTAATGCTAATTACTCTTGCCTTTACTTCTCCTTTATATCTCCTATTCATGATTCAAATACTTTATTTTCCTCCTTGAGATAAGATTTATGCAATTTGGTAGTCTTTTAGATAGACCTACTGAAGGGGTACTCTAATTGCCTCACCCTGTGTCCTTGTCAGCACGGAAGACGCCAGAGAGGTCTGTGTCCCGATTCCCTATTGGCAATTTGGGTAACCCCTTTAGAGGATGGTGTTATAAGAATATGAGGTAGGAATTGGTTAGGCAGTTAGGGTAAAAACACCTCAAAGAAAATTATCCAGTTTCTTTGTTAAAACTCACAATGTCCTTGGGCCTCTTAGCAGCATACTCTGATCCAAAGGCCAAAAATGTAGAAAATATTTGGGAGCTTTTATCTAATCCTTAAAAGATTTTATGGTTACCTCTTCAGAGGGGAGAATGTTAGAGTAGCCAAAAGTCCCATGAAAATAATAAACAAATCAAAGATGAAAAAAGAGTAAATGAAGTTATCAGAAAAAAGTGATGGGAGATATGAAAAGAGTTGGAAGGGAGGGAGTGGGCATGGATTTGATCAAAACACCTCATATACATGTATGAAATTCTCAATAAATTGTTTATTTAAAAACAAACAAAAAACAAATATGACTTTTTCAGATAGATGATGGATAAGAGGACATGAATGGTAATAAAAATATCATTGCTGCAACTTGGACAGAAGATAGAAGGAACATATTAAGTGATAAAATGAAGACACAAGGAAAACATTTCACTGTCTATTCTAAGAGAACTGTTAATGATATTGATCCAATGTGTATTGGAGAAATTAAGATTTGATTCTGATAAAGTATAGTATTACAAAAAGGAAAACAAATGATGTTACTTTTTTATGAATTTTATATAGGTACTAATGGTTTGAGAAAAATAAAGCAATAAGCACAATAAAGACTAATGGATCTATTATACTTTTGGACTTGAAATATGTCAATTGTTTTCCCAAAGCTGTCTACTGAGGAACTTTGAAAATATGCTTCATCATCTTATATGTGATATCATTAATTTATTAATAAATATAAAAACACATATGTGCTTTAGAGCCACATTGGAATTTGGAAGTA